AACTATTCGAAAGCGCTCGAGTTTTGGGTCTTATTTTAAGTTTATTACACTTTACATGTGATCCTTTGTGCTAACTCTTTTATCAAGATAAATATGTTGCAGGTATTTTCAAAACTTAAATACAACCGATAAAAAATAATCAGTCTAAAAAAATCCTTAGATATAAAAAAGAAACGAAAATCCGAGGAAGTGTTGTGATTAATGGGTTGCTACAAAATCTTGACAGACACTTCTTAAAGGCTAATGTACAGCTTAAAATGAGTTGCGTATATAAAGACGTATGAAATTTTAATCTGTGCAATTAACATCAACGTTTAGTAAAATTAATTACAAATGAACACAGGATAATTTGAATCATCGTTAATTATTATATTTTTCATGCTGAAGTATGGTGCAGTAAGCAAAAGCGTTTCGTTATTTTATATTGGGTTAAGAGTAAAAATCTAGTAAAGTTCATCTCATGCATTTTTTTTCTTTTTACTTTGAACAATATTGTATGTGCAGTTGGAATTAGTTCCAGTAAAGTTGATATTAATTATAAGCAAGACAAAATGTTTCAGGGCAAACGATAACAAAGAGTGGGTAAAAAAGTGATTAAGAAAGGATTAGTTAAAAGACAGGAGAAGCTTGAATGAATACTCCAGTTGGGGTGGAATCAAAAACAGGTTTAATTCGCCCTGGATGAGAAAAGTATGAGAGGGAGAGAGAGATAATACGGAAACGATTTTTTTTTCTAAACGTCAACGCCCAGCTTACTAATATCTAATACTTAAGGTTGTGAAACACTGGTGTTTCAGGCCTTATATTGTGAAGTAATGGTGTCTCAGGCTCGATATTGTATACAAAACCGGTGTCTCAGGCCTCATATTGTGAAGTAATGGTGTCTCAGGCTCGATATTGTATACAAAACCGGTGTCTCAGGCCTCATATTGTGAAGTAATGGTGTCTCAGGCTCGATATTGTACACAAAACCGGTGTCTCAGGCCTCATATTGTGAAGTAATGGCGTCTCAGGCTCGATATTGTATACAAAACCGGTGTACTTCAGGCCTACAATATTGTAGTAAGTAATGGCTATACTCAGTCGTCCATTATTTATAATAAAAGTCGGTTGTT